ACTGCCGGGCATTTTTGCTCCGCCCTTGAAAGCCTGTGGTTCGAGAGGTGCGTGTCACCTGAAAGAACGAAGTCGGGCGCCAAGCTCTTCCAATCATCCACAGAGCGAGCCAGGAAAGAAAGACTTCTGGCCAGCTAGACATGCAAGCACTGTATGTCGGCAAAATCGCGCAGTCTTTGTCGCACCGAAGATGCAAACACAGCGCTGGCAGCCATCTCCTGCAAGTACGATTCCAGCGTGCTCTGCAAACGAAGCCCAAGCCGCCAGAGGATGTTGGAAATACTCTCTCCCCTACGATATAGCATTACCGCAGATTTAGTGAAGTCGGAATCACGCACATCTCTAGTATGGTGTCTCATCTACGTCTGCAAACAGAAGGTGAGGAAGGGTACAAAGACATTGAAGAGGGCAAGCGCTCAAACACCAAGCTAAGAATGTGAATGGCCGTACTGTCTGTGATCTTCATACGCTGTACACGCGCCGGCTGTCGACCAAATGACTTGAAGTGCTGGAGACGGAGAACCAATCCCGTCTGCTCTCTTTCCATGAGGTCACTCGGAAACACCAGGTCTGATCGATAGCAACGGATCACTTCACACACGCGGCGCCGTAAAAGGCCAGCAATGTCTAATGTCACACCTATCCGGGCGTGCCACTTCAAGCGCCACGCAATCGACACCATGGCCTTGACAAGGCCCTCAGGAATCGGCACCCGATGCTCTACGGGCTCAGCAACTTCCCACTTCACCACGGGGAAAACATTGCCCGCGTCTGCGGAACCCAGCGTTGGCATGACAGCAGGAGGTGCCTAAGTCACTCAAAACACCGCCACGTCCAAATTCCAACTTGCATAGATGCACAAAGCTTCAACCAGAAAGAAGGGGACAGCAGTGAAAAGAGTCTGCAAGTCTGCACTCTGAATATACTGTTTCACCCACAACAAGAACTTCTGTAGGATACGCGCTTCTAGCCTGAGGCCACGGCTGAGAGAAGCTGGATGTCATGATGTTCGTTGCAAACCGACTAGCTTTGCGCCACTTGGTTCCGAAGCGGCAAAAACAGCATCGGAAAACATGTTCTGAACTTGGGCTGCGATAGCGATCATACGTCTTTGTCTCCACCACCAGCTTGTATCAGCCAGAACAAAACAACAAAAGTCAACGAGTCCGTGCGCTCGATGAAGTCAGCCAAAAAATCGTCGTGTGAGTTGCCTTGCCTGGCTTTCCAGGGCTCGAGTTGGGTAGCCCTCGCAAAAAACGCCTGCTCCTGACTGGGGGCGTCACTGCAACTGAAAAGGAGGCGCATATGGGCGCCGCGCCCCAAACTTTGAAGGCTCCCAACTCCAACAGCTCTCTAAGTTTCGTGCGCGCAGCTTCACTCAGCAAATCCTCTTGCACGCTGCGCTTCCACTCAAAACACAAGACCCAAGGTGCACCATGTCTTAACATTGCTCTGGCTGTGCCAAAAAAACAGAAAACATATCCAAGACACCAGGTTCCACTATCCTCCTCTTGCCCCGCCCTGAACCACCCCAAATGTCTTTCAAGAAGCCGTGATGCTGGCTTCAGCTGCGGCGTGCTCTTCTCACTGAGCTCGAGCAGTCAAAAGGGGAGCCCGCCACGCTCTCTTCAGACTCTTGCGCCCATGCATCAAAAGCATCATAGGAGCCAGCTAACAGGTCACCCCACCACTCTGGCAAAGCGACATCCGGTGGTGCAGAATGTCGGGTGGGACCATCTGCTCTGTTCACCTGTGAAGGATAATACATGTGTGAGCTGTAAAGGTCTGATCTGAGGACAGGAGTGCTAGAAGCTGCTCTGCCTTTCATTAAGGCTCCTAAGCTCGGCTGTGAATCCAGCCCGTACAAAAAACGTCGGTGAGCGCGGCGCTGTGCAGGTCTTCTTTCTTCAAGCAAGTGCGCCCTTACCTCCAAAACGTTAATACGAGCTTTCTTCAACACAGGTTTTCTCCAGCGCTCAGTGTGTTGTAGACACCCCTAAAGCGGTCGAGCGTCGAGCGAATCTGGCCCCGGCAGTTCGGGTCCAAAGCTCCGCGCGCTCGCAGCCAGGCCTTGTCTGCTGGGAGAAGTCGAGACCACCTGCCTTTGCGTAGTCCACGCCGCGAAATGAGCCAAGGAAGGGAGCAGGGGCCAGTCAAGGGAAGCACCAGTTACAGTCACGAAGGGTTCATGTTGGGCACGCAGGTTGCAAACGGAAAGGGGACCTAAAAGGGCCACACATCTCCGGCGACAATCTCAAAACAGCGGAATGGTCTGCTACCCCCAACGCGTCGAATATACTGTTCATCGTGCACAACAGCCTACGCCTCACCGAATACCAAAACCCAGGACCCAGCATGGCAATGCGCAGAAACTCCTTTTTCAGATTGACGTCAAGACCGTGCTCCGAGTAAGCCTTCAAGGCCTTGTCCAAGCGCTTGTCTGCTTCTGTGGCTTGACGGGCACGTTGCACTGGTATGTCATCGATGATGACGCCAACTGACTTGCAAAGAGGTCATCTCTTCAGCTGTCAAGACACCTGCCCTGAGCACTGAGCAAACTCACAGGCGTTTTGATCGCCCATAGCCAAGGTGGCTAAGCCGCAGTAAACAGGTGTCGAGAAACCCTCCAAAGAGTCACTGAAAACATACTGAGCTTCTGCTAGGGTGAGAGGATCAGCTAGAGCATTGCGCCTCACGCGCTGTTGTCCAACTCTAAACTGGTAAAAGAAGTCACGCAAGTCTTCGCCCGAGGAGGCGAGCGCCTGATCTGGTTGCAGCACAATGTACACCAAAGCTGAAGCTGAAGCCACGCTCTTGCGCCACAGCATCCGCCATGCTGGCGGGGCACGCATCCAGAATCAGCCTATCACGAGTCTGGTTGCTGGGCACTGCGAACAAACCTGAAAGGTGTCTCTGGCGAATGCTGTCAGGATGCAGAGGCTCCAATCTCTTCGTGTCGGCCAGATTCCTCAACAGCCCCAGCTTGTTAGCGGAGTTGGCTCTGATGTGAACCGCCGCCACTGCATCAACTATTTGAGTGACGTCAGGCCCCAATTCGAGCGGCCTCTCATAGACCGCAGCAGTCTCAGGGTCCAACAAGGTTGAAGTTGGGAGGGGGCGGAAACTCCAATCTGTCTCAATCTTGTTGGCAGGACGGCCCCGATCACTTTGCCAAAAGTCAGATCTGCTTAGTCAGCTGACGGCCTGGTCACCTCGTCGCTGAGGCAACTGCTTATAGGCCTCATGCTTTCGGTGGACATGGCGTTGGGCAGTCAATGCGTCTTCAAAGGACTGAAATTTGGCGGCCCCGCGACCCATGAGGTCTGCATCAATGAATTCGGGTGTGTTGCCATCGAAGATCAAACGCCGAAGAACTGACATCGCAGTCCACTGTTTTGCCAACAAGGGAGTACCCAGGCCTATAGTGAGTGCGGTGCACGTGTAGGTCTGCCCAAAGACAACCAGCTCAAGAGGACCGACTGCTATAAACAACAGCCGTTTTCTCCATAGCCCGTCAACTTCGGATGGATGGCCTGCTCGAAAGGCAGGGATTGGCATCGGCCAGGTAGAAGCAGATGAACTCAAGGTGGCGCTTCCTCTCGAAGCACTTGGCATTTGGAGCGTAGAATGCAAAAACTCCGCATAGAGCAAGGTGTTTGTTGCAGCCAGCCGGGCAATGAATTCACTATTGCGGAGACCTTCGCGGCGCTATATAACTGAAGAACCCGGAACTTTTGCTTGTTTTGGCAAGGCAGGATCTCCAGCTCCGCTGGGCCCGGAAGGGCCGCTCATGCATCTGCTTGACTGCCGTCCGCTGCATTGCGCTTCGGACAGGCTTTTGCTTTCCTCTTCGGCTGAGCATCGTCTCCACTTGCAGCGTCGTACTTTTTGCTTCCCTTCTGAAGCTTTCTTCGCTGGTCCAAGTAGTCCTCGGTGTCTCTGAGATGAGCCAGCGCTACCTCCGACCAGCGTGGGTCCAGCAGCTTGCTGAATGGCGGATCGCCCATGTTGACATCTGGTGGGTGATGCTGGCTGGGGACTGCAAAAGGTGGCGCCGCCGCCTCTCTCTGCAGCCGTTTGGTCGAGCTGCAGCAACATCAAGCAACTGCGGGCTCTAGCCTCGTCGATTCGACCTATCATCAAGCAATCTAGCACTCTGCCGATGCCCCAAGCTGAGTGGGCTAGGGTTTTGTAACCACCCAAGCCCGAGCCGACAAGGCGGATTCCGGCATGTTCGGAGTCCTTGTCCTGCCAAACAAATTGTCCATCATCAACTTCTCGATGTTCTGTGAGATCTTGTGAGGGCTGCTGGTCAAGGACTTCATGAGAGCTCGTCGAGCGATGGCAGAGCGCTTCGCAGCGCCCGAGCTGACTGACTCTGCACGCGCTCCATCTAGAGCTGCCTCCAGGGTCGATTTCTTCTTGCGCTTGTCTGCAGTCAATGCATCCATGATGTCTGTCAATTTGCCCAAGGCCGCAAGCATGGGATCTTGAGGAACTGCCAAACGATCCAGCACCGCCTCCGGCTTCTTCCTCCTCCGTCTCCGACAAAGGGCTGGCGGAGGCCGCGGCAGTGGAATTCCCCACTCCCGCCTGGAGAGCCGCACGAACCAGAGACTGATCCAGCAGCGGATACCCCGCGGCCTCTGCATGTGGCGCTGGGGCGCGAGGTCTGAGGCGTCGGACCGGCCTTGCAATGCGCCGATGGCGCTGCAACTTGACTCTGAGGCTTGTCCTTCAACGACTGCCTCTGCATCTGCACCAACTCTTTTATGCCAGAAGTCACCGAACTCATAGTCTCCTCCAGATGCAAAACATGTGATTGCAGCTTTTGGGGGCCAGATTCTTCTAGCAGAGCTTCTTGCTGGCGCTTCCACAGCAGTGAAAAAAGCGAATGCTCCTGGCAAACCTCTACTAGGCCCTCTGCAAATGGATATATAAATGCCCAATGCGTCGAGAAAAGAACCGCATCATGGCATAGTGTTGCAACTCCATGGACGAGCGGGCGGGAACCACCAGGGGCTCGGCAGTACCACAATTTGGTCATACACTAAGCAAGCGCTGAGCGTGTCCTCAGCCTTCAGGCCGGGAAACGGGGAACGGGCGTGATAGTGGGAGAACAAAAAATGGTCAAGAGTCAAGAGGAAGATGGAGGCCAATTTCCAGTCACAGTCAGTCTCAAAGATGGCCCTACAGGCTTCTCACAAATCAAAGGCAGAACCGCAGTCACTCAAGGTCAATCACTGAAAAAGCAGCACATCACAGCACCTGAAAACCCCAAGGAAAACCTCGACCCGAAAAAACCGAACGCAAAACTGGCTGGCACGCACTTTTTCCGCAAGGATCGAGAGTGACCGTCTGACCAGTCGTTGGTAGTACCCACTCTGCGGGAGGCCCCCCTCTGTCCACCAGGCATATCAGGGCATGGAGCACCTGTACCCAGCCAACATTGCGGCGCCAACAAAATTCGGGGGCCAGAAAGGCCTCTGTGTCCGCTGGAAGATGCCCACTACCTGGATTCATCGGGGAATAGCCTAGCTTCCTGTAGAGAGCAGCGGCCTGCAGGGTCCGTGACCTTCGCCACCCACCGTTGCTCTTCCGCGCAGCGCCAGGCCACCTTGATCTCGACCAAGCTGGAAGGCTCCAATCGGGGCAGCAGCTGGGAATACACGGAGTCCACTTCTCTCAAGGCCGCGAGGGGCAAGCAAATCCGCTCATCGCAAACGGCCCACTCAATCCTGTGCTGCTTTGCGTCTCGCACCGCCTCGAGTGGCAACTCCATGACAAGCAAACGCGGGAGAATTGTTGAAAGCGTCATCGTCTGCTGCTGTTATAGCGATGACTCAGAGTTTGGCGCGTGAAATGGCGCCATACAAGGCGCTTGCGAACGCACTGATAAAGGGAAGTATGTGTGATGAAACTGCTGGCGGCCAGGTAGGCACCCATCTCCCTGTAGAGCGGCTTCCATTCCTGCTGAAGACTGAGGCTTGACCGCACGCTTCCAAGTCTCTGGAGCCGCAGTGCATTCTTCTCCTTGTTCTTGCTACCCCAGTGTTGGGTCGTGACAATCAGAGGTAGAAAACACCAAATGTTGTAGAGCTCCTTCAGGGTGTATGCCAAGCGTCGTCACCTGGGGCCCAGAAGAGGCCAACCACCTTTGAGATCGGGGGGGCGGTTCTGCTGAACGACGTGGGCCTCGATCTCTTCGGACGCGTACACCAAGTCGCCCCAGCGAGTCCGCAGGTTGTGAGGGTGAGCGCCTCTCTCCAATGCCATGATGGTGTCTTTGGCCGAGGTCTTGGCCGAGTCCGGAACCTGAAGGGGGACCACCGTCCATTGGCCGCCATAGGCCCGAACTTCACTCATCGCCACCTTGGCCTCGCCCGATCCCGGTTCCAGCTCTGTCAAAATGTCCATGGTGAGGAGATCCTCCAAGATCTCCGTCAGGGCCTCCGTGGATGGACCCCCCGTATCAGGGCCTGAAGCACCTCTAAAGGGCGCCTCGGAGTATTCCCAGTCCGGGACCTCCAAGAGCCGAGGGTTGAAAGGGTTAGTGCCCTGCTGGATGAGTTCACGGGTCCGGAGGTAGGCCTCCTTCGCGGGAACGGCCCTTCGTCCACCGCCATAGGCCCCCGTGTCGGTTCTTGGCCTTGGCAATGGAGTACACCTCCACAATCCGTGCAAAGGAGGCCGGCGTGAGCTTGGTGACATCAAATTGAAGGCACAAGTCCACTATATCTCCCCTCAAGGGCTGCGCCAACTTCTTCCACAAACATGGTAGCCCCCTGTAGGCGCTCCTGGAGGGGCACTGAGGATGCCAGGGTCGTCCTGGTCGAAGAAGGAGCGGCCATCGGTTCAGCCCTGCCGCAGTAAGTTTTAAGCCAAACCGGGGGTACACGCCTGCCAGGACTCCTGCAGTATCACCCTGATCCAAGGTGACCGGGTCCACCGTAGGCTCCGAGGCGAAGCGTCCATGGGAACCGCCACCTGAGTGTCTGAGTGCTCCACCGGAGTCTCTGGACGCGGCTCCCATACAAATATCAGCGCATGAAGCAGCTGTCCCAACCGCAAAAGATCCGCTGCCGCCTGAGTCGCCACACCAGGGGAAGGTGCCGGTGGGTCGTCCCAGTGGTAGAGGCCAGGGAGAGCGTGTTGATCTCCGTCACCATGGCTTCCAAATGGGTTCAAAAGGTTCATCTCATCTTGATCCGCAGCCAGTTGAGCAGTTTCCGCTGCCTCCACAAGCACAAAGTCCTGCTCCGGGAGTCCATCCCATCAGCAGCTTCGAGGAGGTCGAAGTCAAAAAGCTGAGCTGAAGAGGCAGCCATTGCGACAGGTCAGCGGAGTAGGAAGAAAGACGAAAGTTCGCTTCAAAGTTTCTGAGGGATCAGTTCCCAATCCTTGAGCCAAAATGGTATTGTAGACACATTGTTTGCAATCCGCAAACTCCATGCAAAACCAACAAAATAGTATATATATATATATATTTGTTTTTGCTCCCATGTGTGCGCATCTTGTTTTGCATGTTTGAGACATTTGCTGAAGAGGGCTTGAGGCCTTCAAGGTTTCAGGGCTGTCTTTTCAACCTTCAAAAACAATCACCCTCGACAGCAGTCCAGGATAGTCCAGGACTCCCACACATCGGCCGTGAAACATTCGTCCAACACATCGGCCGAGACCGAAAGCGTTCTGGAATCCAGCATTGAACGGAATGGGCCTGGAATGGCAGTAATGAGAAATCTAAGGATGTGGACCGGGCTAACAGCTAAAACCTTCGTTGGTAACGATCTAGGCGTTAAGACCTCCAACAAGCACCGGCAGCACCAGCAGAATTCGTGCAGGATCTACCCCCATTGCGCCAAAGGCTGGCTGGCCTTTTTCATGGCTGGCTGCCGCCCACGCTGTGTAAAAGGCATCTGCGTCTCCTTCACGTCCTTGTTGCATGAACGAAGGTGCTCGAGAAATGATGAGTTTTTAAGCGCAAACTATAGGATTCCCTGACTGAATTGGGAATTTTGCGATGACACTTCCAAAATGAGTCCTCTTCGACAAACCTCAGCCAAGTGGTCCCAAAATTTCTCTTGAAACATAGCTATGGCAAGCTTGACCGTGCTAAGCGCGAGACTCTTGGTAAGCACCACCTAGGCTAGAGGCAAATCTGGAACCCTCAACACAGCAGGAAGGCTGTGGGTGGGCACTAGCCATGAAGTTACCCTATACGTTTGTGTCCTAGTTGGCTCTATTTGACCTCATCCTGCTCCGCTCTATCATTTGCAGTGAATTTCTGACGAGGAACATTTGGGCAGGCCAGTCCTCGTTGGGGAAGGGTCAGGAGTGCGGTAGCCACGGTGCAGCGATGGCAAACCACGTTCCAAGAGACCGAAGACCAACTTCATGTTGGAGATGCCTAATGAAAACAATTTTCTTTTAAAAAAAGTCGGCATCGCAAAGGGAGCAAGCACGTTGGGGCCGATCTTTTGGAACCCGTTTTCTGAGAAAGCGACTTGCCGGGTGCTCTTGATCAGAAGGAGTCTTACTGCCATCCTTGGCACCCAAAACACTTGTGTTTGGCCCAACCTGCGTGACCATGCTGGATCCGCCAAGTAGCCGTCGTGGAGTCCAAACAAGGATCCTGGAAGTCATTGAATTTGATGTACCTAAGTTCGCCCAAATCCATCCAAGGCTGCGCTGGAGCTGCGAGTAGGTGTCTGCCGTCTTTTCGCTGCGGCGATGGAACCAAGCCACGGCATGTGGGCTTCGGGAGTCGGAGAGCGAGACCGAGACCCCACCATGGCCTAGGTTGAAAACAAAAGTCACCCACTTTTCCAGCATCTATCAATACACCTCCGTGTCCTTGATATTCAATCAAGCAACTGCCATGATTGCAACCTCAAACGGTCGGCAGCAATCGAACATGGAAAAAGAAGAACGCAGCGGAGACCATGACAACTAGTTCTATGACAGCGCTCACAAGTAAACTGAACAGACTCTCTCTCCCTCTGCCTTTTTTTTTCTCTCTCTCTCTCTCTCTCTCTGTCTCTCTCTCTCTCTCTCTCTCTCTCTCTGTCTCTGTCTCTCTCCGGCTCAACTCAGGCCCGGGACCTCAGAAAATCAAAGGTTCAAAAAGCCGCACACTTGCGAGCGCACGTGAGCAAGCTTCACGACAGCGGGCAAAGGATGTTTGGGATGAAAAATGCCGCGCAGACTCCATCATAGGGATCAGGAAATCCAAGAATGCAAATGTTGAAACCAAAACATTTGCAACCTTAACTAATCGGAAACCAGTATATGCAATGTAGCATCAAGCGTGCACGTTTGTTTCCTCGCTGGGAGGCGATGAAAGCCTCAAGAGTGGAGGAGGCCGATTGGGGGTGGAGAAGGCGCCAGTGCCAACACCGGCAGATGGCCGTCACCGTCCAACACCCTAGGGCTGCGCCAGCAGCGTGGCAGCGCGGAGCAAGCAGCAGTGATGCGACGCCTCTGACTGTCCCTGACGCCACGCCCCCGACGCCCTGACGCCTCTGACGTCTCCTGACCCTGACATAACGAAGGAAAGTCGAAGGCAGATTTTGACTCGGAACACGCTTTTGCACGTCGGACCTTTTGACAGTCCGGGACACTTTTATGAGACCCTCAGCAAAAACAGACAAGCTTGCAAGACAGTCTTGAGAACTTTTGTGGGACATTCTTGGCCAACACTATTCGAGAGACCTTGCAAGATCGGCTTGCAAGACACTGTTGCTGGACACTCCTGCAAGAGATTCTCGGAATACCTGTTTGGATTATATACTTCGTTTGGCA